GTGAGGGCCTTTAATTTCAAACCCTTTTCCGAAACGCGGGGGCGCGAGGAAAAGGCGAGCCCACACACTCCCAAACTCAAAACTTGAATGCAAAGCTGTAAAATGCACCCCTTGGGCCTCAAAACTTGAGAAAACATTTGTAGATTTGCAAATCATTGAGAATTAAAGATCATTTCATGAAATCAAGTCCCAAAAGCATGCCAAATGCTCAAAACTAAACTCAATTCTTTGAAAACATAACATGCATGTTTTATCTTGACTTCAAAGCTCCCAAAACATGATCAATTAGTATAAAATGATACAACACAAAATGAACTCTCAAAACAAAGGTAGACTTAGCATATGCATGTGAGAATTACTTGAAATTTAATTCAAAATGTAAGAAAATGTGCATGCATGCATGATATGGCTCAAGTTCACCCATTCTAGCTCAATCTTTGCATTACTCAACTAATTTCTCTTGAATTTGTGGTCTAGACATCGTAAGTATACAATTCAAGGGTGGAATTCCTACCTCAACTTCTCAATGAAGCTCTAGTTGGTGAATTCTCTAAGGTTCCAAGCCAATTTCCTTGAATTCTTTAGCAATTTCTCCCAAGCTCTAGTGTTGATATCAACCTCCTTGGTCTCTCTTCCTCTCTCTCACGTTTGTCTCTTGAAGGCTCAAAGATAATGAGAAAAATGTGACTCAAGTGGTATGTATAGGTCATATATAGGCTTACTTAGGTCATTTCATTAATCTTAACTTAAGCTAAGCAATTTGACATTAATTATTCTAATTTAATGTGTTCCAAATTGAATTTTAATTAAACTTACCATAAGGTTCTAAAAATTCTAACTAGTACTGAAATCAAGTCAATTCCGTGATCGGATGCCGATAAGGCCTTCAATTTGCAGAATAAAACAGAAACAGAAACATATATTTCTATGATAGACAGATAAGAATACAATTAATGCATCGCACATGTAATTAATTCATGATTTCATCTTAATTACTTATTAAGCATAATTAGTCATGGATTAATCAGTAATAATGGATCGGGGTTGTTACAATATGGTTATATATCTGATTATATATCAAAATATATATATATATATAGATATATAGAGGACATCAGATACGTTATGTGTTTTTTACCCATAACATTTTTTCCATACTCTCTCTCTAACTCTCTCCTATATGAAAATCGATAAAGCCTTTGCACTGTGAATAGAGTAGGTGATACTCATACTGTGGTATCACTCCATTGCTGGGTATTCTTAGTTCGTGGTTGTGAAGCACGTGATTTACGCACAAGTTCTTCGTTTCGAATTCTATCACTTAAGGTATGGTTTGAATTCTTTTACCCGCTGCATTATATATATCTTACAATACAAATTGTCCTCTGTGGTTTGAAAAATTACAAATATCTCTCTGTCAGAATTTTTTATTTAACAGAATTAATTGAAAAAGTAAAATTTCTAATTGTTCATCTATACAATAATAAAATTATCTAAATATTAATTGAAATAAAATTTTAACATTATTAAAAATAGTTAATTAATTTGATGATTTATTAATAAAATGACCTATTTATTATGAAATTAGAAGCCTTAGGGGGCATAATATAATTTTTAGAACAACATAGGCTAATTTGTAATTTAAGTAGGCTAATTTGTAATTTAAGTAAATCTCAGGAGGTGTGTTTGTAATTTACCCATGCATTTATTGATTGTATTTGTCTTTAAAATAATATATAGTCTATAAATTAAGAATACATCTCTTGTGATTTGCTTAAAATATTAATTATCTTTTATAATTATGAAAATTACATGGTGCTATTTCAAATTCTAATGACGTAACAAACAATTCATTTCATTAATTAATTACTAGCCTATCACCCATGTTATGCACGTGATAATTATAAATATTTATATTTGTTTTAGATTTTTTTTAATATATAAATTATGTTTTTTAAGATTTTTTATGAAAATAATTTAACAATCTTATCACTAACCATAGTGTATAAGAGAAGTTAAAAAGGGTACTGCAGTAACTATACACAGATTGTATTTATAGTTATTTGTATGAGGGGATTTTAAATGCTGATCAGGAGATTTTAACCAAATCAATAAATGCAAGCATGTGGATTGAAAAATGTTAATAAATGCTGATCAGAAAATTTTGACCAAATCAATAAATGTTGAGTTTTTTTTTTCAATAAAAAATTTAAAAAATTCAGATTGAGATATTGAAACTCTCACAGGCCTTGGGGTTAAAAACTCCCTTTTGCTTAAAAACCCCCTTGAGTGTTTATATTTATCTAACTTCAATTATATTATAAAATCAAATTAAAAAATCAAATTATAAACAAAAGGAGATAACTTCAATCATACAAATCACATTTTTTTAATGCTATCTAACTACAATCATATTTTTCTCATAATAAAAAAAATAATTAAAAAAAAGAACCATTAAAATAGTAAATAAAAAGATTATTTAGAAGTATTGAACAAACTACAATCACATTTTTCTTTTTGTAAGTGTTTATATTTATCTAACTTCAATCATATTAAAAAAATCAAATTATAAACAAAAGGAGATAACTTCAATTATACAAATTACAATTTTTTTAATGCTATCTAATTACAATCATTTTTTTCTCATAATAAAAAATAATAATTGAAAAAAGAACCATTAAAATAGTAAATAAAAATATTATTTAGAGCCATTGAACAAACTACAATCACATTTTTCTTTTTGTGAGTTAACTTCAATCATATTAAAAAATCAAATTATAAACAAAAGGAGATAGCTTCAATCATACAAATCACAATTTTTTTAATGCTATCTAACTACAATGACATTGTTCTCATAATAAAAATAAATAATTGAAAAAAATAACCATTAAAATAGTAAATAAAAAAGATTATTTAGAACCATTGAACAAACTACAATCACATTTTCTTTTTGTAAGTGTTTATGTTTATCTAACTTCAATCATATTAAAAAATAAAATTATAAATAAAAGGAGATAACTTCAATCATACAAATCACAATTTTCTTAATGCTATCTAATCATCGTAAATAATTAAAAAAATCAATCACAAATTAAGTCAATTGATAATTAAAAAACACAATAATTTATTTTTCAAAAAACATAGTGAGTTAAAAAGATCAATTACAATTTATTTTTGGTCAAAATACAATCTAATCATCATCAATAATTGGTACATTATGTGACCCTAATGAGTACAATCCATTTTATTTTTCAAAAAACATAGTGAGTTAAAAATCAAATCACAAATTAAATGAATTGATAGTTAAAAAAACACAGTGAGTTAAAAAAATCAATTACAATTTTTTTTTCAAAATACAATCTAATCATTATCAATAATTGGTACTTTAAAAATCAAATTAGAAAAAAATCAAATCAAATCATAAATATTTTTATGCTATCTAACTACAATCATATTTTTTTCGTAAATAATTGTAAAGAAAAACCATTAAAACAGTAAATAAAAGATTAAATCATATTAAAAAAAGAACCATTGAACAAATTACAATCACATCACATTTTTCTCATAATAAAAAAAATAAATCAATGAAAAAAAGAACCATTGACTAACTACAATCACATTTAAAAAAAAAAAAGAACCATTGAACTAATTACAATCACATTTTTTTCTTTATGAGTGTTTATGTTTATCTAACTTCAATCATATTAAAAAAATAAAATTATAAATAAAAGGAGATAACTTCAATCATACAAATCACAATTTTTTTAATGCTATCTAACTACAATAATATTTTTCTCATAATAAAAAAATAATAATTGAAAAAAAGAACCATTAAAATAGTAAATAAAAAAGATTATTAGAGCCGTTGAACAAACTACAATCACACTTTTCTTTTTGTAAGTGTTTATATTTATCTAACTTCAATCATATTAAAAAAATCAAATTATAAACAAAAGGAAGAAGAATCATTCAACTAATTATAATCACATTTTTCTCTTTGTGAGGGTTTATATTTATCTAACTTCAATCATATTAAAAAATCAAATTATAATTTTTTATTCGCTAGACAAATCACAAATATTTGTATGCGCTATCTAACTACAATATTAAAACAGTAAACAAAAGAAATAGTCAAGAAAGAGAAAACAAAAAGAAGACTTACTATTTGTATACGTGGTCACTGAAGTTGAAAGTGTAGAAGTGAGAAGTCAAGAAGGAGAAAACAAAAAGGAGACTCACTGTTTGGAATAGGTATGTAAAAAGTTAAATAGAGTGTGTATTGGAGAAGTTAAAAAGATTTGGAAGAATTTAATAAGTGTTAATTTTTTTTAAAAAAAAAAAAAAATCGAAAAAATTAAGAAATTAAAGTTCAGATATTGGAACTCCCACAAAACTTGTGGGTTAGAGATAAATATAAATAAATAGATAGATATAGATATAGATATATATATTTATATTTGTTTTAAAATTTTTTTAATATACAAATTATTTATTTTAAAAAATGTATACAATAATTATGAGAGAAGTCAAAAAGTCTTATGAGTTGAGAAAAGTTAATAAATGTTGAGGTTAATTTTTTTTTTTTTTTTAAATAAAAAAATTAGGATTGACATATTGAAACTCCCACATGCCTTGGGGTTAGAAACCCCTTTCGCTTAATATATAGAATAGATAGATTAAGTCAATTAACAGTTTTTAATGATGTCAAAAATATATTTAAATTAACAGTTTAAATAATTTTATTATTGTATAAAAGGATAGTTAATAACTTTATTTTTTTTGATGTCAAAAATATATTTAAATTAACAGTTTAAATAATTTTATTATTGTATAAAAGGATAGTTAATAACTTTATTTTTTTTTTATGTTAATTGACAAAATTTGATAAGAAAATATTTGTAATTTTCAAAATTATACTGGTAACAATTGGTATCTTAAACAAAAATTTAAAAATGTATTTGTTGTATTCATGGGAAATTTTTCTGGTGTGAAGGAAGGTTTTAGGGGGAACTTGGGGAGTAGTAAAGTAGGTGCTCTCTGTTGTTGTGTCTTTGGTTTTTTGAACACATTGTGTGTGTCCTTGTTGGTTGCTTGATAATTTATGCAATTAGAGAGGAGAGGAGAGGAGAGGGTCTCCTCCACCTCCACCTCCACCTCCACCTCCACACATTTGGAGCGAAGCAGTCGGTGCATGACCTCCAAAGTCTCCCTGCAATGTCGCTCTCCAAATTTAGGTGTGTTCCTTCTAAATTTAGCGACGAGTTCATGAAACCGGAATCGGCTGGACTTAGGCTTCTCCACTTGCCAAAAATAAAAATAATGATAATTACAGGAAAAAAATCTCGGCGGTTTTGTAGAACGCATTTTGCACAGAGAGAGAGAGTCGGTTGGAATTGGTTCTCATTTGGTTCATCCACCAATGCTGGTGGGGGTGTTGCCGACAGATGTATTATCGTCCGCCTCATCATCAGGATCAACACTGTTCCAGTATCGTGTTCAGATTTTAATTTTAATTTATTCTTTGTTCCCTGTGTGTGGTAGAATTCGAGAATTAGCATATCAGAAGAACTTTCTTCATTTCTTCTGAAGGTGGGGAGGGAGGGAGGGAGGCTCTCTGATTTTGATCAGAAGATGGTTCCTCCTCATTTTAATTTTCTAATTACAAGGCCCTGGATTCTCATCTTTATGATCGTTCTAACCCTTACCTCCTCCACCACCACCATTACCTTGGTTCACTCCAAAACTGATGGACCTGATGGTATTATGCTCTCTCTCTCTCTCTCTCTCTCAATTTGTATGATATCCATATTTCCAATTTTTGTTGCAATATTTAAAGTACTTGCAAGTTATGATAGTTGTCAAATTGCGATATGAATGGCCGTCTATTGTTTTCGTAATTTTGCAACAATGTTGGCAATTGTCATCTGATGGAATCTAACCGTAATAATTGAAGAAGGAATCTAATCTAGCTCTTAAAACAAACCCACTACTAGTCAAGAGTGGGCTTTACATTCAAGCCGACCGTTCTTCAATTGTTTCTTGAATGGACTGTTCCAATTTGCTTCATCACAACTCCATTTCACTCCCTGTTTCTCCAAAGCCTCTCTAAATCCCTCAATCCTCGTTTGAATCACCAAATTCATCCTACAAAAAAGAAAATTAAGGTGGTATTTCACAACTAAACAAACATAAATGGATGAAATTATGATAATGAGACTGCATCAATCAATACCCAAAAACACAAAGATAAATTCACATTTCAAGCGTTCATCAGATACTAATCTGGTGATGGGACCTAAACAAATTTGGAAGGACATACATATACTGAGTTTGATGGTGGTTTGGTGGCTAGATGCTGAAAGTGAAAGTTTTTACCCTCAAGTGAGGTGAGCAGAGTGAGGGGCATAGTTTATTATTACTATTTCTCCATTTCTTAAAAACTGAAGTTAAGATTTTGTTGTGAACTTCATATTTGCCTGGGTTTCTGTCACTGGTTTATTCTTGGTTTACAAATTTGGTGCTTGGATTTATGATGAATTTATCTTTACTTTTCAGAAAGGAGAAATGTATTTTATAGTACCTGTTTATGCTTAGTCATTTTACGTCAAGTCTGTCATGTTTTTTTTTTTTTTGGTTTCTGTTTCAAAAAGTTTATGTCAAACATGTAATTGCCTTCCTAGTTTCTGATGTTCACTAATTGGTTCTGCAGTTTCTGCCCTCAATGTTATGTATAGTAGCATGAATTCACCTTCAAAACTGGGTGGTTGGAAATCAAGTGGAGGCGATCCTTGTGGTGATGCCTGGGATGGAATAGAATGCAAAGGCTCATCTGTATCTGAAATGTAATGATCTTTGTTAAACATATTTACATGTATTATATATATATATATATTTTACTGACGTATATAAGCATTCCATTGGCTTTTGGTTTATGAACTAATCTCTGCTTTTTTATCAGTCTTACTTATGAAATTTGTTTTGCAGTAAGTTATCGGGTTTGGAACTCACTGGATCAATGGGCTACCAGCTTTCGAGCTTGACATCTGTCACCTACTTGTGAGGCCCAGCTTTTGTACATGGAAATTAGGCACATTTTTATTTTTTTTTCTATATTTTAATATATATTTGAAATGAACTTCACCTCAAAGTGCTGCATTTGTTTGTCATTATACAGTGATTTGAGCCAAAACAACCTCAAGAATGATATACCATATCAGCTTCCTCCTAATGCAGATTACATGTAAGTTGGCTGAAAAAAGCATTTTTTGCATTTTCAGATAGAACAAATAATACAGCTTAATTTGACTGAAAATGTATACATGTGCTGAATTGATATTTATTTATTGCGCCATTCATGATGGTTTATTTCCGGTATAACGTCATATATCTGCTTGGCTTTATGTTCTTTATGTTTCATTTGATGGTTAGTGCTTTATTTTAAGATGATTGCCATTGTAATTTTGGACTTTGTTAGTGCTTTATTTGCTGCAATATCTTCAATATCAAGATCTCTGATCACTAAACATGAATGTGTCACAATATGAGCTTTCTGTGCAGAGATCTTTCTGAGAATAGTTTCACTGGTGGTGTGCCTTACTCAATTTCTCAGATGAAAGATCTTAAATACCTGTAAGTGGTGGTTGTCTGTCTGTCTCTCCATTGTTCCATTTTGTTAGTCTCTTGGTGAAAAAGGATAAAAAAAAGGTTGTTTCACGCTATTAATGTTTTGTGTGTTGGTGCAGAAATCTTGGTCATAATAAACTCAATGGACAGCTAAGCGATATGTTTGGACAACTTTCTAAACTCACGGATCTGTAAGTATTGATATTTGTGGCAGCAAAGTTACTAGTTTATTTTATTGTTAAAACCTATCACCTACTTCACCCACTTAAACCTACTCCACTAAACCTAACCCACTACACCACTACCACCTCACCTACTCCACTAAACCTAACCCACTACACCACTACCACCTCCACTTCACCTACTCCTCACCTACTACACTCACCCTCTCCTATATAATGAGCCACTCACCATTTGTTATATCAATAAACATCAATCAATAATACATAAATCATTACATTTATTTTCTTCTTGTGTCTCTTATCTATCTCAACTTGCAAAAAAGTTTCTGATTTTATTTGAATTGGCTTATGCACCATACCTGTTTATTTATTTTTGTTTTTTGTTTGGATGCGGCACTCCTGCTCACTTTATGAGAGAGAGAGAGAGAGAGAGAGAGAGAGATCAACCTAAAAATACTTGCACTATATTTTTGTTGATCTGTTTGCCCTATCAAACCCTAAACATGAAGGAGCTGCAGCCTATAAATACTTGTGGTACATTTTTGTTCTTCTCCACATTCTCTTCAACAAAAGTCAGCCATGTTACTACTCCCCAATTGATAACACCGAACTTGATGCTATATTGGTATTGAAGCCCTTGCCTATCAAATCCTAATACTCTAAACCCTTTTTTTACCTTGGCTGTCAATTTAACACTTGAAAACCTTATATTAGGTTTGTTCAGAATATTTCCAGCTACTAGTTTTTGAAAATCCAGTAACCAAACACTTTGGAAACCAAGCCTATTTCAGCTTCTTCCCATATACGAACTATAGAACCTTTCTTCTATATTTTGGAGGCCTAAGCGTTTAACCTTTTCTTGTCCTAAACCCAGCACAAAAACCATCTGTGTGAACCTTTACCTTAAATTTCCCAAAGATGTTTCACATCATTCTTCCTACATAAAGATAGATCTTGCTGGGGTTGCTATCGCTTAAACTTAGAAAAGAAAATCAGAAGATTGTTGCTCTAGGAGCTTCAATTTTAGCTTGCTTTTTATATTCTTATTTCCCTCTGAGTTAAAACATCTAGGTAAACTTTGGTTTTTCTAATTCCTGGGAACACAAACAGCTTACATCCATGATGTGCAAGTGCAAATATAATTTGTTAAAAGTTTCAATACAATCAATAAATATTTCAAAATGGTGGAGCATATCACTTTTTTTTTACAATTTATAGAATACCATAGATTATTTAGGCATTATCAAATCTTAATATTATTTATATTGATTATTTTGTCTAATTATTTAAGTATCATCAAATCTGAATATTATTTATGCTAATTGTTAGATTGCGATATATATATTATTTGTTTGTTCTATGTATTCTTAAGATATTTAGCAATGAGTATGGAAATATTTTGAGGTATCATTTACTTTAGGCAACTAGCCTTTCTTTTTGTATTGGATTAGGAATCTGGCGTGGATCTTGTTGATATTGATATGTCTCAGCATGGGCAGATGCTGAACACATCATGAGATAAAGCAAAAAAAAAAAAAAAGAAAAAAACATACAAAACAAGAACGCTGATAAGAACAAGGGAATGTTACACTAGATTATGATTTTTTTTTTTTTTTCTAGAAGAAGGTAAAATTATTGAAAATTTGACTTGAAAGTTATTTTGTTGGCACTTCACAACTTGCTCCCTCTACGGTCATGCCCCCTTTTGCACCTTTTAATAAATATAATTTACTTACCAGAAAAGGAAAAAGACTACACGGTCATGCCCCCTTTTGCACCTTTTAATAAATATAATTTACTTACCAGAAAAGGAAAAAGACTACCTCTTTTCTTCAGTAACTTCACTTGTTATGTAAGAGATACCTATTACAATAAGGTTATCAAAAGGAAAAAAACAAGAATCTTGAATGTATTGACAAACTCACGAGATGACATGCAGGGATCTCTCCTTCAACAAATTGAGTGGCAATTTGCCTCAAAGTTTTAAAAATCTCTCAAGCCTCACCAATTTGTAAGAAGCAACCAAATCTTATTTTAAGAAACTATGAGTTCTTTCCTTGTTTACTAATGGTGCTTTGTGTCTTCATGCAGATATTTGCAGAACAATCAATTTACTGGCTCAATAAATGCCCTTGCAGACCTTCCTCTTGATGATTTGTAAGTTCACCAAAAACTCAATACTGACTTTAAATGATGATTATCACACCCAGAAAATGCTAATATGCTAGTGATTTACGTTTTGGAATACACGTTAATGCTTTCATTATAAAATGGTAAATTTAGCAACCCCAAGTGGTCCCAAAAATTTTATGTATTTATTTCCCTGAACTTTTCCTTAGGAGAAAAAATTCTAATAGATATTGCAGAAGTTCAATACAAAACAAAGTTCTTCACTGCTATCTGAACTTTATTGTTTCTGACAATGAATTATTGGCACATACATTGATTGTGAGGGAAAGACAGTGGATACCTAGGAAAATTTTGCAATGAACAGATAGAGGCATGCATCTTTATCTGTACTCATCGCACATATTTTAGGTGTTACCTTTGATGAAGAAAGGTATCAACTATCAGTACTTTGCAAGCACAATTCAGATTATGTGTTAGAATTTACTATCACCTACCACCACTACCACCTCACCTACTCCACTAAACCTAACCCACTAAATCCACATACTCTCCACCTACTTCACCCACTTAAACCTACTCCACTAAACCTAACCCACTAAAAAAAAAGGTAGTGTTCTTTAAATTGCACTGGAATCTATCTTACTCATACGAAACTAAATAAGAATGGCAGGATGACATAGATAAATAGTTGCAAAAGCCTCATAGAAGAATATAACTTATATTTTAATAGAAAATTTTCAATTTTGGAGTTGGGACATTTCTTCTTTTCTCTTTTCCTTGTTTTCCCCCTTGGTTTGGGGGGTTGGAACAAATCTTTGTAGCCAGCTTCAATGTGTATATGCCTATTAATCTTTTTGATTTCCTTCTACTACATGTGATTTTTTATTTGTCATCAGCCCTGATAGTAGAAATGGCTGTTTTCCCTCGTACAATGTGTCTACAGGGTTGTGCCCCTTTTTTGGTGTTTTTTCTTGAATATAATTCTTATAAAAAAGTTAACATAGGTTATCTGGAGATTTTGGAGCACCACTTATTTATCCGGACTGTACTTTTGCTTTTCATGTGCAACTTTTCATGTGCCTCCAACACTTCGTAATATATTAAGAAAACATAACTTGCGATTGCTGACGTTGTTGATGAAGAATCTAAAGAACTTTGCACAATGATTTCATCAAAATACTGGCAGGAATGTTGAAAACAACAAACTTACAGGCTGGATCCCTGATGAGTTGAAGGATATTAGAAATATACAGTAAGTAGTCCGAAAAATTATGTTTCCTGATAAGACGGTGCTATTTAAGTTCTTTTTCTGACTTCAGAATTCTCATTTCTCAAGGTCTGGAGGAAATTCTTGGTCATCGGGGCCAGCTCCTCCTCCTCCCCCTGGTCAAAAAAGTAACTCTCGTTCTGACAAGTCCTCATCAAATGGTGATGGGAAGTCTGGTCTGAGTGGAGCAGCCATTTCTGGAATAGTGATGGGTATTCTGCTGGTTATTGCGATTATAATTGCTCTATTCTCACGAAGATCTTCAACACCTCCTTCACATTTTCTTGATGAAGATAGAGTCAGCCAGCGCAGACCATTTACCCCACTTGCGTCCCAGGAGTTATCCAATGACATGCGATCTGAAATACAAAAGGACTTCAGAGGTAATTCTTTGCACAGTCTTCTTCTTTTTTATTTTTCCTTGTTTTTCTTTGTGTGCGCGTGCCCTGAATACATTATCCTATACATTATCATATAGGGTGCCCTAAATGACTATTTTTTTAGTGGTGTGGTCGGAACTGTGTGGCCAATATGTTGTCAGGTGTGAGAGTGTCAATATGAAAGATTCTCAAGACGAGAGTGTCTTTAGACCATCTATTTCTTATTGAGATACCTAGATGAATATAAGTTGGTTATATTATTTTTTTCGTTTCCTTTATTTGTTATGCATGTATTATTTTATTAAACTACTATAGAAATTGCATGCCAAAATTTTGGTTAGAGAACAAATGGACTTAAAAATAGACTGGATTATATATATGACTTGCTGGCTAACATTGCTTTCATCTTGTGGCTTGTCCCAACTGAGTTCTTCTTAAGCCAATCTTCTTTCCTTTAAGTGGGAAATAGACATATCATTAATTAAAAAGTATACAAAGCTGAAGAACAAGATGCCCTTAAAAGAAAACTCTGAAAAAACCTACAAAATAGTTATCTTGTTTCTTGTTATTAGGTTCAGAATCTCACTGTGACTAGAATCTGATGTTGTCCATGGCTCCATGCCTTCCCAAGAGCATGGCCATTGGTTGTATGGTCAAGTTCATGTATTGGCTGTATATTTCATATTTGTATTGTCTTTTATGAATTTGTCACCTTTTTAATCTGAGTTGTTTTGTTATCGTTTCATATGTTATGATTATTTTTTGGGTTAATATTAATATTAATACATTGTAATTCAGCTGATTAGATGCTTTACTGGTGACAGAACTTAAGTCGTCAGACTCATCTTCTTCACTTACCGCAAAGGGTTTGCAGACATCTCCTTCAATTTGTCTCAAGCCACATTCAGATCGTTTTAATTCATTTGATGATAATGAGTTTGTAAACCATATGAACATCAAAAGGAGCAGCTCTTTTCGGATTACATGTTATTCTTTGGCAGATTTGCAGACTTCCACTGGTAACTTTGCAACAGGTCGCCTTCTTGGTGAGGGAACTATTGGACGAGTGTATAGGGCCAAATATTCTGACGGGCAGGTATGATTTGTTTGTGAGTTTTTCTTGTTGCCTAGTTCCTGTCTGTCTTGAAAATTTTGTCTTTTTTTAGGGTGAACGCTGTTGCAATCAATTTGGCATGTATTCTATGTATATATTGACCAAGTCATATGCTTAGGAACACCATACATGAAAGGTTTGACCTGTTTATCTTTTGATGCTTAACTTCCTTAAGAAAGATGCTAAATATGATATGTTTACAATCACAAGGGAGATTTATCCCTCATCTTCAGTTGAGGATGCCTTAATTTTTTCTGATGAGGCTGTATTCACAGTTGGGTCATTAGTAGTATTAGTGCTAAAACAGTAGAATTACTTAAGTTAGAACCTGTGTTACATTATATGGGCTCAGATAGGATCCTCAGGTGTAGGTATGTCAGTACCGGATTCATCTAATTTTCATACCCAAGGACACCAGGCACGACTAAATTTCTTATTTCTTAAGTACTTTCGTTTATTCAAGGTAAAATAGTGTTTACAAACTAACATAGAGCTTTGTGTATTCATTTTTTTTCTTCTTACTAGTGGTTGAACACGTGCGTTGCACGTAGCATGTGATTTTTCATCAACTGTTAGTACTGTAATTATGTGTCTCTTAAATTGGTATGTGATATGTATACAAAGTATAAAAACTTGTATGGGTAAATTGATCTGTACCCAAATACAACAAAATAAGAAATGAATATATACTTGATTGAAGAATTTAATTGATAAATGAGAAATTTTATGAATATAAATATTAATTTATAACTAGATTGTTGAAATCACAATCTTGTCTTAAACAATAAATAATAAACAAGTCCTTTAAATATGTAGTGTTACACAAATTTTTTTCTATCAACTTCTCACTTCAATTTTCTATAATCTGTATCTGTAATACAATTGAAGGTACGAAATTAATTGCACAGTTTTGTTTTGTTTAGGGTAAACTACCAATAGGTACTAATAGTTGGACTTAATTCCCATTAAATCTTATTGAAAGTTAGTCCTAGCAAAATTGTCGCAAAAAAAAAAAAAAAATTGACGATTTTTTTTATATGTTGATAAAAATTGACAATTAGTGATTTATTTATTTTTATCACGATTGTTATAAATTGTTGCTAAAATTTACAATTAGTGACGTTTTTCTGTGACGAATTTTTTAAATTGTCGCTAAAAGTTGAAAATTAGTGACTTTTTTGTGATGTCTTTTTAAACTGTCACTAAAACTTACAATCAGCGATTTTTTTGTGACAAAATTTTCAAACTGACACTAAATATTAACAATTAGTGATGTTTTTTAATAGTGTTTGATGAAAAATGCAATTAATTATTACAAGACATATTGGAAAATAAGTCCATCTAATAGGACCTACATCTAAGTCCCCCTTTTGTTTAATAGTTCATCTTATAATACAAATTTATTAAATGCACTATTACATATTATTTGCATATTATTGGTGTAAGAATGCATTAATATCAATATGTAATATATTTTTATACATCAAGAGTTGTTGAGTCTTGTTTCATGTGCCACGAATATCTTGTATGATGAAAAATATAACATTAGTCATTAGTAAATTTTCATTTATGTGTAACTTAATATTTCAATCGACATAGGAATTTCATAATTGTTTTCACAATGTTTATAGATCCAAGCTTATAAATGTTTGCAGGGTCACTTTCATGAAATTGTCAAGTTACATAATTTATTATGTCATCTATTAGTAATCAGCATGTGACAAAAATTAATCAAAATTTTTTATTTGATGTACTTACTTTTTGTATCATTGAGTTGTTGTGATAATGTTTGCGCATCATTTGATTTTTTCCTTGTAATTTGACTAAAATGTATGCATGAGGTACATTGTTTTTATTGAACTTTATAACAGATAAGACAATTTCTGCTTCAGTTAGTTTAACTTTGCTTGGAGAGCATGTTGCAATAGATCTTTTGTAATTTTTGTTTCACCATCTTCTTATTTTTCTTCTTGTTTACCATTATAACTCATTGCAATAAAAATGTTTTGATGAGTAAGAGTTTGAGGCGATATCATATTGTTATGAATTTCAAAATCCATTTTCCCTTAATAATGTGAATTTTTTCTATGAAGCGGAAAAAAGTACAATTATTATCGTGATGGAAGTGTTTTGCAAAGTTTTTGGTTTGTTATTGAAAGTGTTCGTTGTGGACACTTGTTTATATGACATGTATGTATATATGTATTGAACATAAGTTGATAGGAGAACAATACACAATTCGTAGTTTTTTCCTAGCAAATATAATTATATTACTAAAGCGATACATGTTAGAAAATTAAAGTATCTGATGGTAATATAGCATTACAGATTGGCAATATATGAATAGAGTAACATATATAAATTTACATTTATATGTTTTTTTTATATATAGTTATATATGTAGATACTGACGTATATAAGATATCATAAAAGTAATATGTGAAACATTTTACAACAATATAATACTGGCAATAATGATAAGTTAATTATTCATAATTAAATAGTTGGTCATAATGTAGATATTTAGTATTAGATTTTTGTGTTTTTTGGGTGTATGCACTATTTTTTAATTAGATTATTAAATTCACATAAAATTGAAAGAAATTTGTGAAGAAAGATTTAAAAAAAAGAAAAGTTTATAGTGTTTAGTTTGGTTTGTTTTTTCAAATTTTTATTTTGAATTTTTTGGTTTTCATGTTTTTTGTCTTTGACACTATTTTTTTTAATAACCCTTTTATTTTCTTTTTATACTTTTTTATTTTTTAATTTTACTTTTAGATTTAGATTCACTTAATCTAAATACACTTAGAAAATAATTTGTTGTGTTAATATTAAATAATAATAATAATAATAACAAAAAAAAATATATAATAATAAGAAAGAGTGATTGTTTTTGTTCTTCAATCATCAATCAATGTAAAAAATTGGGAGATGGGTTTTTTTTTTTTTTTTTTTTTGATAAGAATGGAGATGGTTTGTTTATATTTATATATGACTCTTGGAAGCAAATATGTTGTTTTTGAGTGTTCAACTTGAAAAATAAAGAGATGGTTTATTTAGGACTTTTCATGATTTTTAGAAAACATAGTAGATTTGAGAGGGTAAAATTGAGATTTAAAAAAAAGTAAAAAACATGGCAGACTTTTCACACTTTTAAAATAGTAGTAGATTTGACAGTACTTATGAAAACATTACTTACATATAAAACTATTAAAACTTACTTAAATATATGACAGAGTTTACAATAAGAAAAAATGACTAAAATAATCAAAGCTCAAACACTAAATAAAAAGTGAACAAACTATAACAAAATATCACTTAAATGGAACATCACTCTTCTCGCTTTTTTAGTTGCAAAATGGCTGATGAAACTTGCATAATCCAACTTATCAATAAAATTCTTTTCGATTGATAAATTTACTAATCCATTTAATATTTCTTGTGACATAGTTGACCGAAGGTAAGATTTAATTAACTTTAAATTTGAAAAGTTTATTTCCATAAAAACAACTGTAATTGGTAAAATTAATTGTATCTTATTTTATACACAATCCATATATTTACGAAACAACCATCCATTAGTTTCAAATAATTTACCATATTAATTGACTTTTTAGTTTGTTTTGAGTAAAAATAATTATCTATTAATTTTAAATAATTCACCTCATCACCCATTTATTAATTTTGAATCTTTACCGAATTTGTCAAGGCCGTTTAAATTCAAGTGGATTTTTTTGTGGGTTAGTATAATAGCTAAAAAAAAATCAGGCCTTTTTCTTAATAATTTTTTGGGGGCCCAAAGTGGCGGCTTTGGACCAAAGCCGGCCTTGTCGACCTCTCCACAAAAAGAAAACAAATTTGTCTATCTACAACGTTTTTCAGAACCTGCTATAAGTGGAGGCCTTGTGCATTAGCTAATGGGTACAGGCTTTACTTACCTATGTTAACTGCTTTTCTTTTTGGTTGTTGATTGATTGTTGTTCAGGCATCCTTCTGGACAAATCAACCATTTTCTATGCAGAGATTTGATAGTGGTAGTAGTGCCACATCATTTTTGGTTATTTCCCATTTCTTTTTGGCGTTTTCCCCTTGGAACCACTAACAAGAAGAAGGATAGAAATAAAAAAATATTACTAGGGGGTTGGGCACCTATTGGAAAGCTTGATATGCATTGTTTAGTCCATTTCCTAACAACTTTAGCTTTTGGGACTAGTGGTGATCTAATGTGGTATTATAGCTTAGCTTAGGGGAGGTCTTGGGTTCAAGTCTTCCAGTTTGCATTATGTTTCTTTGCATGTTTGGATGCTTGCATCATCACCACGTCCAAAACAGGGTTGCATGTAAGGGAGGGTGTTGGAGAGTTTGAAATGTGCATAATTTTGCCCCTTTCTTGACAACTTCAGCTTTTGGGACTAGTAATGATCATGCCCCGGCGGTGGGCTGTTGGTACAAGGAAGGAGCTTTAGAATATTGAATTGAGATCTCTTGCTGATACTCTTTGAGAAAACCTAATTATGCTTACATGAATGAAAATCCTCTTTATAGTTTTACAGCATTTAAACCTAATGTTGTTCTAGGTTTATTGGACTTGGCTTGTATGGTTTCTTGTAGTTGTCATATCATCGTTTTTATAGTCTAAAATATATTTCATTTAACGTTTGTGGCTCATTCTTTCCTAGCTCCCTTTCCATGTACCCTATTGTCCTCTACATGTTTGGAGCATGTGCAGATCACTTTATTTCACCAGTTTCGTTATCTTTTTGGCACTTGAATTTCTAGTCGTTGCCATTCTTTTGATTTAACTACTTAATATGGTGATTCAACTAGTTGACAATCTACCCTTTAAAGATATGCATAATAATCAGTGCCATGTGACTTGTAAATATTGGTAATTAGATAACTTTTTTGTCAGGTTTTTGCAGTGAAGAAGATAGACTCCTCACTATTTCAAGGCGGACAAGTGGAAGATTTTACAGAAATTGCTTCAAACATTGCCAAGCTTCGCCATCCAAACATTGCTGGACTTACTGGCTATTGTTCAGAACAGGGACAAAATATGTTGGTTTATGAGTATTTCAGGAATGGTTCACTTCATGAATTCCTACACTTGTCAGATGACTTCAGCAAACCACTTACATGGAACACTAGAGTCAGAATTGCTCTAGGAACAGCCCGAGCTGCAGAGTAAGTTAAATTTATGCTCCTTTTTTTTGGTTCATTGGGTTTGTAATCTGTTGGTAGTCTATAGGAATAAACACAGCTATGCATTTTATGAACTCAGCTTTGTGCATTGGATGCTGTGCATAGGTAACAGATATGTCTAATGCACAAATGTTAAGAGGATTTGAACTAGATGAATCGTTGAAGCACTCGATTTTTCTTTTAGATCATAGGAGAGTGAAGTATCTATTCGACTTAGCATGTCCAGGTTGCTTGTACACTCTTTTGAAAACAGTAATTTAGTATATATCCTAGTGTCACGGCCTTGGATTTTCTCAACCAACCTTAGGTCTTTCCAAGCCAACTATGCGGCCTTAGATGCTTATCCACCCACTTGGTTGCACCTAAGTCAGCCTTCCCCACTCGACCACACTAACTAACACACAAAGTTTAGGTGGAAGAATGTATTCACTATACAAGTATAGTTGTGTACAAAGCTTTACAAGGCTCTCACCCTCACAAGTGCTTCACTGTTAGAGCTCTCTTGGATCTCCTCTATTGGCTCCTTTCTTAGATGCCTTCTACAAATGAGACCCCTCCCCTTATATAGCCATCCATCTCCTCAATGGATGGTTAGGATCATTTTGATCCAAGGGCTACAAACTCTCCTCTAGAACCCTCCATAGAAATATCTAGGACAACTACCCTTCTACTACCTTCTAGAATTCTCTATACTAGTGTAGTACATGGTAGGCTTCTCCATGATATTCTAGGATGTTCCAGACCCATCCAGACTCTTTTGGACCCTCCAAGGTTCTTCCACCACATTCCGGAATCTTCCAGGCCACTCCGGACCCTTCCACCAGGTTCCAGAGCCTTCCAGCATACTTTAGCCCGTTCTCACTCCTTGCGGAACCATCCAGCATCTTTGGCACACCTTAAACGCTGCTCTTTGTGTCACAGAAATTCTCGGGGCGTGACACTAGGTTCCTTACCCAAGATTTGAACATGAATTTGACTGTAATTAGAGTTAAAGATACAGTCTTTCTCAACTAGCTGATGAAACTTCGAGGTTTCTGTAAAACATGTGATGCAACCTGAAAATTCTGATAGTGATTTAATTTTTTCCAAACACCTCAAAAAGTGTGAAAATAAGTTTCCAGAGACATCAGCCTGATAATTTTAGAGAATACCAAGAGTAGGAAATGATTGAGATATTATCCCCTTTTATATTAATGAAGATTAATAATTACAAGGGAGCCCTAAGGCATAGAATAATTACAGTAATAACCCAACTAATAATATCCTATTCTAACACTCCCCCTCAAACTAGTGCGAAGATATCTCTCATGCCCAGCTTGCCTTACTCCTAACTCCCTTGGTGAGGATGTCAGCGAGTTGTTCACCAGACTGCACAAATGGAGTACATATTGTGCCATTAGTGAGTTTCTCCTTAATGAAGTGGCGATCAATCTTAACATGTTTTGTCCTGTCATGTTGAACCAAATTGTGAGTGATGTTGATGGCGGCCTTATTATCACGGTATAACCGCATGGAGTCCGTCTGATCAATACCTAGATCACTCAACAACAACTTGATCCATAAGAGCTCACACACCGCTTATGTCATATCTCTAAACTCAGCTTCTGCACCTGACCTGGCAACCACATTATGTTTCTTACTTCTCCAAGTAACTAGGTTGTCTCCAACAAAGGTGTAATACCTTGAAGTCGATCTCCTATCAGTTACTGATCCAGCCCAGTCAATATCTGTATAGGCTTCCACACGAAGATGATCATGCTTTGAAAAATAAAGACTCTTACCAGGAACAAACTTCAAATACCTCAAAATTCTTAAGACAGCCTTGAAGTGAATTTGATGAGGAGCATGCATAAACTAGCTAACCACACTGACAGCAACAGCAATATCAAGACGGGAGTGTGATAGGTAGATGAGTTTACCCACTAATCGCTGATAGCTCCCCCTATCAACAGCTGCTCCTCCTTCATCATCCCCCAATTTTTGATTGGGTTCCAGTGGAGTGTCATAGGCTTTGCAACCAAGCATCCCGGTTTCCGTCAACAGGTTAAGCACATACTTCCTCTGTGAGATAAATATCCCATCCTTGGAGCGAGCAACTTCAATTCCTAGAAAATACTTCAAGCTTTCCAAGTCTTTGATTTCAAACTCATTTGCTAAATATTTCTTCAATGATGGGATTTCCTCATTATCATCACTTGTAAGAACGATGTCATCCATGTAAACAATGAGCGCTGCAGTGTTACCACGTGATGAATGTTTCACAAATAAGGTGTGATTTAATTGACTTTGTTTGAAGCCATATTTAACCACAGCTTGAGTGAATCTCTCAAATCAAGCCCTTGGAAACTATTTGAGACCATATAATGACTTCCGAAGCCAGCATACTTTACCCTCTATTTGATGATCCTTAAAATCAGGAGAAATGTCCATATATACCTCTTCTTCTAGGTCACAATGGAGAAAGGTATTCTTTACATCAAACTGATGAAGTGGCCAATCTAAATTAGCTGCTAGAGAGAGAAGTACTCTGAATGAATTCATCTTAGCCACAAGTTCAAAGGTGTCTTGATAGTCAACACCATATGTCTGAGTGAACCTTTTGCCACAAGTCGAGCCTTGTAACGCTCGATAGAACCATCTGTTTTGTGTTTCATAGTATACATCCATTTGCATCTTAGGTAACTCAGTCAATTCCCAAATGCCATTTTTCCCAAGTGCTTTCATTTCCTCAATCATGGTAAGTTTCCACTCAGAGGTAGCAAGAGCATCATGAAAATGGTTAGGAATGCTAACAGAGAAAATATTTGACACAAAAGCTCTATACGAGGATGACAAATGAGAGTAGGACACAAAATTTGAGAAAGGATGTTGAGTACAATATCTGACACCCTTTCTCTTGGCAATAAGAACATTAAGATCAATAGGAGTATCAAGATTAGTGGACTCAAGAGATTCAAAGTTAGCTAGTCTCTCATCAGAAGCAGGAGATGGCAATGGTTGAGCAGAAGTAGTCTCCTGTATCCAGTTAACTTTCTGTCGATCTTTGTCCCTAACATAAATTTGACCTTCCTTATCCTTGGTGACATTGGGTTCTGTGGTCCTAGTAAGAGGTGGTGGTGCAAGAACAACTGGTTCCACCATAGGAATCACAGGAATCACTTCACACCAAGGCCCCCCCTGAAGGGAGGACTATGACACCAGAGATGACAAGAAATAGGACTAGGATTCGAAAAATGTGACATCCATGGACACAAACCACTTACAAGAAGGAGGGTGATAACACTTATACCCCTTTTGAGTAGGAAAGTACCCAAGGAAAATACATTTGAGGGAGCGAGGGTCGAATTTACCACGAGTAGGAGAGTGATTGTGGACAAAACAAACACAACCAAATATTTTTGGAGGAATAGAGAACAAGGACTCGAAACCTAGGAGGACTTGAAGGGAAGCTTGTTTTTACAAGACCTAGGTAGGAAGACAATTAATAAGATAGGTAGCGTTGAAAACAGTATCGCCCCAGTAAGACTGAGGCACACTCATAGAAAAACACATGCATCGAGCTATGTCAAGAAGATGACGATTCTTGCGTTCTGCCGCCCCATTTTGTTGAGGTGTATTGGTGCAAGAGGTCTAATAAATAATGCCATGGGCAAAAAAATATTGCCCTAGCCCAGAATCTATGTATTCCACCCCCCTCCCCAAAATTATCAGAACGGAAGATTTTGACAGTAGCCCAAACTAAGTACAAATCATCTTATGAAATTGCGAAATACAGAGAAAACCTCACTCTTATCTTTCATGAGATATACCCAAGTAGTACAAGAAAAATCATTAATAAATGTAACAAACTGTTGGTGATAATTACAAATAAAACACCAGAAAATACAAATAATAAAAATTATAATAACTATTGAAAGGGCTGAGTCGTGGGAAATTCGCTCTCTTTAAGGAGAGCCAAGCCCTCTGCGGTTAGGCAAAGCCTCAGACTGGTGCAGCAGAAAAAACCTGGACTTCTGCCTCCAGGATACAACAGCCCGACTAAGTTGTATGGTTCACCAATATTGCACAATTGGTTGAACCCAAAGCTTCATCACATACGCCCTTTATTTCTTTGCCTGATAATCTCACACAAACATAATAAAACAACAAAAATTTCTTCTATCTTCCAAGATAAGAGGTTAGCTCAATTTATAGGAGATGAAAGCTTGGTGGACAAGTTACTTGGAGGATAAGTATAGGAGAGGAAACTTGGTGAGAAAGTTCCTTGGAGGAGACTTGGAAGCAAAGAAAAAGACTTGACTTAGACAAATACTTGGAGAGAAAGAAAAGAAAACTTGGACGGAAAGAACAAAAAAATCAAACCTATAACACATTATAATATTAAAATATCTTCTAACATTCCCCCACCTATTTTAATATTATAGGTAGCAAAATATGAGATTATTAGGCAAAGAATGATATTATGCATCATGGTAGGTGTGCTCTGCATTGACCCTCCGTTAGTAAAACAATAATATCTACTCCAAAGCCAATAGTATGCTCAGCATTGAACAATGACTGCTTAAGGGAAATAAATAATTATTGCACACACATAATATTCTAGGTGTTCACATAAGCTTTAAGAGCTAGCATAGTACGGCCTTGTGCGATCCCAGGATTCATGAGTGTGTTTGAGAATTAGCCCAAATTTCATAGGTAGCGGCCCCACTGCCACACTCACATAGGTGAATTCTGTCAAGGGTGCTCCTGTAACTATGACACCCCACTCAATAAGAGCTACAAAAATTCATTAAGAGTTTTTTTAATAACTTAACCTCTACAACATTACAGGATAAATGCATTTACATCATAGGGATTGGTAAAAAAGAATTTAGTGCATTTCTCACAGCCATCATAGGATTGTTCTTCTCATTGAACCCAGTTACAGGATCTCTGGTCCCTGGGTTGAGCATTCTTATACATGGCTCCTACTATATTCAATGGGCTTCAACCCCATCCCCCTCGATATATTCCAGACTCTATCTCTTACTAAGGTCATAGTTAATAGATCTGCAAGATTATCACCAGATTTAATATAATCCACATTCATAATGCCATTATTCATATAAGATCTCACAATACTGTATTTTCTTCTGATAGGTTTGGATTTACTGTTATGATAACGGTTATTAACTCGACCAATTGCTGCGGTGCTATCATAATGAATTAATATAGGTGGAATCGGTTTTTCCCAACAAGAGATTTCATTTAACAAATCTTTCAACCAATTTGCTTCTTCACTAGCTGTAGCTAAAGCAATAAGCTTAGCCTCCATTGTTGAATTAGCAATAATGATTTGTTTTTGTCAATTTCCAACTTATAGCACCACCTCCCAATGTAAATAAGTAACCGGTGGTTGATAATGAATCACTTGACAAGGTATTCCAATCGGCATTACTGTAACCTTCAAGTACTGCATGATACTTATTATAAAACAAGCCATATTTTATTGTACCAGATAAATATTTCATAATCCGCTCAATGGCTAGCCAGTGATCACTGCCAAGCTTGCTAGTAAACCTGCTAAGTACTCCAACTGCATAGGCAATGTCAGGTCTAGTACAATCAGTTGCATAACGCAAGCTACCAATCATACTAGTATATTCCTTTTGATTAATTACATCCTCATCACTTTCAACGGGAAATAAACACACATGAGGATAAAAAGGAGTAAGAACATGCTTGCACTTATAAAAATCATATTTTCTCAAAATTTTCTCAACATAATGTGACTGATCAAGAAATATACCATCACATGTTTTGGTAATTTTCATTCCCAAAATATAATTAGCCTCACCAAGATCTTTCATATCAAAATGGCTACTAAGCATATTTTTAGTTTCCACGATGATATGCAAATTAGAGCCAAATATAAATAAATCATCCACATAGAAGCTAATAATGACATGTGAATTCTCTTCAAATTTATAGTAAATGCATTTATTACATTCATTCGTTTTATAGCCATTCTCAATCATGCAGGAATCAAATTTCTCATGCCACTATTTAGGGGCCTATTTTAAGCCATATATGGATTTAACTAGCTTGCACACTTTGCTTTCTTGACCGGGTTCCACAAAACCCTCAAATTGATCCATATAGATTTCTTCACCCAAGTCTCCATTTAAAAAAACTGTTTTATGCAGGAATCAAATTTCTCATGCCACTGTTTAGGGGCCTGTTTTAAGCCATATAGGGATTTAACTAGCTTATACACTTTGCTTTCTTGACCGGGTTCCACAAAACTCTCAGGTTGATTCATATAGATTTCTTCATCCAGGTCTCCATTTAAAAAGGCTGTTTTAACATCCATTTGATGAATTTTTAGATCATGAATTGTAGCCATTACAATTAATAATCTCATGGATGTAACTCTAGTAACCGGAGAAAATGTAACAAAACAGTCAAGATCTGCTTCTTGTTTAAAACCTTTTGCAATAAGTTTTGCTTTATATTTATCAATAGTTCCATCTGGTCTAAGTTTTTTTCTCAAAACCCATTTACAACTAATAGTTTTACAACCTGGTGGTAAATCTACTAATACCCAAGTTTTATTGGATAATAATGATTTCATCTCATCATTTACAGCCTCGTTCTAAAAAACAAAGTCAGGAGATGCCAAAGCTTGTTGTAAAGTTAATGGAGTTTTCTCCACATTAAAAACATAATAATTAGGGCCAAAATCTATTTCTAATCTGGCTCTTTTATTCCTTCTAGGTTAAAAAACTACAGTGTCTTGGTTTTGTAAAAGAGGAGTAGAGGAACCGGTTTCAGATAAAATATTTTCTTAATAATTTTGACCCCTACCATTTTTAGATTTAAAAGGAAATTTATCTTCATGAAAAATTGCATCATCTGATTCAAAAATTATTTTGCTTTCAATATCAAAAAATCTATAGGTTGTACTATATGTTGCATATCCAAGAAAAGCACAAGTGGTAGCTTTCACACCTAATTTAGGTCTTTTAGGGTCCACAAGTCTAACAAAAGTTAGACAACCCCAAACCCTCAAATATCCCAAATTTGGCTTATGCCTTTTCCACAACTCAAAAGGTGTAGCTTTTGTTTTTTTTATGTGGCACTCTGTTCATAACATAACATGCAGTTAAAATTGCTTCTCCCCACAAATTTGAAGGAGCACCTGCTTTAATTAGCATAGCATTTGTTAAATCAGTTAATGTTCTATTTTTCCTTTTTGCTATACCATTAGATGTACGTGAATATGGTGGAATAGTTTCATGGATTATTCCCAAAGATTGAGCAAACGAGTTGAATCCAAAGGATTCATACTCCCGGCCTCTATCACTTCTATATTTTTTAATCTTTTTACTGAATTGATTTTCAACTTCAAGAAGGAATTCTTTAAATTTTTCAAAAGTGTCACTTTTATTTTTCAACAAGTATAAATAAGTGTATTTTGAAAAATCATCAATAAAAGTGATAAAATATTTACTTCCACCATGTGTTGAAATTCCTTCAAATTCACATAAATCAGTGTGAATTAATTCTAACAATTCAGTATTTCTCACCACACTTTTATGAAACCTTCTAGTTATTTTTGCTTGATTGCAAGCTTCATATTTCTCAAACTTATTTGTTAGTCTGGGAATTAGTTCTAAACTACTCATGACTCCCACATATCGGCTATTAATATGACACAGACGAGTATGCCAAAAATTCATAGAAGACAGCATGTAAGCAGAAATATGTGTTTTCTTATTCTTAACATTTAATTTAAACATTCCATCACATGCATATCATTTTCCCACAAATATGCTTTTTTTAGTGATTACATATTAGTCACATTCAATAGTCTGCTTGAAACCAGTTTTGTTGAGCAAGTAACTCTACATCAAATTTTTCCTCATGGACGGTGTGTACAACACATCTTTTAAAATAAGCACACGTCTAGAGGTAAATTTTAGCTTAACATCCTCGTACCCGAGCACCTTGGTTAAACTGGAGTCACCAAGCATAACAGTCATCTCCTCATTAAAATGAATAAAATCTTTGAACCAATCTTTATCATAGCAGACATGCCTACTGGCACCAGAGTCTGCCCACCACCCTTCCACAGATTGAACCATAAAAATATCTGTAATCATAGTCACAATTGGTTCCACGGTAACATTAGCCTCTGGTCGAGACTGTTATTTTCGAAATTTTAAGTTCGAGCAATATATCCACTTTTGCCACACACAAAACATGTCACATTTGTCAGATTTTATAAAGGGGGTTCTTGGTTCCATTTCTTTTGCCTCGGGTAATTTTTATTTTGTGGCCTTCCAACATTTTTCCAAATTTTCTTAACTGGCTTCAAGTGACTATTTTTATGAAATCGACCTTTAGCTAAAGTATTTCTAGAAATTAAAGTTACCTTTGCAGTGGAAAGCTCTTATGTCATAAGCGCATCTTGTCCTCGTGTTTCCTCCTCCACTCGAATCCGTGTGATTAGAGTCTCCAAGGACGTCTCTTTTTGTTTGTGACGGATTGACTTCTGGAACTCCCTCCAAGATGATGGTAGTTTGTCAACAATACCTGCTACAACAAGATTGTCTTCAATTTTGATGCCTTCGGATCTAATTTCCGTCATTAGCATCTGAAAATCTTGAACTTGCTCTACCACTGATTTTCCATCTATCATTTGATAACGGAAAAACAGCTTGCAACATATTTTTTAGCGCCAGCCTTTTCAATGTCATTTATTCTGCAAGACTTTTCAAATTTTCTTGGCAGTGGTATAAATAGGATCATAATAATCATAAAATTGATCCGAAAGACAATTCAAAAGATAATATCGACATTTATACTCAGCTGTGCTGTATTTCTCGATTTTTTCAAGATGAGCGGCATACTCCAGTCAGTCATCTCTTCAGTGGAGACTTTGTTCAGATTTTTCTCGGTCAAGATATAGGCCACCTTGAGGAGGCTGAGATAGAAAAGCACCTTGCCTTTCCATCTCTTGAAATGGGCTCCCTTGAACCGGAAGGGCTTGTTGAGATCACCGGTATTCTCGTTGGGCTTCTCCAATATTGGCTCCATAAATTTTACTGTTTAAATCTTCTTAAAATTGTTGGTGATAATTACAAATATAATTACAAATAAAATACCAAAAAATACAAATAATAAAAATTATAATAACTATTGAAAGGGCTGAGGCACGGGAAACTCGTTCTCTTTAAGAAGATTCAAGCCCTCCGCGGTTAGGCAAAGCCTCACACCGATACAGCAGAAAAAACCTTGACTTGTCCCCCCAGGATACAACAGTCCGACAAAGTCATATGATTCACCAATACTGCACAATTGGTTGAACCCAAAGTTTTATCACATACATCATTTATTTCTTTGCTTAATATCTCACACAAATATAATAAAACAACAAAAATAAGTTTTATCACATACACCCTTTATTTCTTTGCCTGATAATCTTACACAAACATAATAAAACAACAAAAATTTCTTTTATCTTCCAAGATAAGTGGTTAGCTTAATTTATAGGAGATGAAAGCTTGGTGGACAAGTTGCTTGAAGGATAAGTATAGGAGAGGAAACTTGGTGAGAAAGTTCCTTGGAGGATAATTGGAGGCAAAGAAAAAGACTTGACTTAGGCAAAGACTTGGAAAGAGAAAAGAAAACTTAGACGGAATGAAAAAAAAAAATCAAACCTATAGCACATTATAATATTAAAATATCTTCTAACACAAACCATCAATGACCTTTCACAGATATAACACGAGATGGACCCCAGACATTAGAATGTATACATCAGAATGTATTAATGAAAAAGGAATTAAACTTTTATTAAAACTAGGAGCAAAAGAAGCTCTGTGTTGTTTTCCAAGTTGACAAGACTCAAAAAGAAACTCAGGCACATTATTGTTTGCAAAAACGAATGGAAATAAATGCTAAAGTAAATAAAAAGAAGGATGCCCAAGACGCTGATGCCACAGTCATACTTTAGTGGTAGGACTCGTGGTGGAAGAATGAGCAAGTTTGTCCAGTTGATCCAGGAAGTAGAGACCATTTTCTGCATTACCACTGTCAATCGTCCTCCTCGTGACAAGGTCCTGAAAAAGACAATGATCAAGAAAAAAAGTCACATTACAATTCAAATCTTTTGTAATACGACTGAAGGATGACAGGTTAACAGAAAAATTGAGAACTTGGAAAACAGAGGATAAATGTATAGTAGGAGTGACATGGACTAAACCTTTTTCAGAAATAGAAGAAACAGTACCATCTGTAATTCTAACTTTATCCTGACCTGAAGAGGGTTTATAGGTAGAGAAAAGGTCAGAGGAGCCAAACATATGATCTAAGGCACTAGAATCAATAATTCAAGGCAAAGACTTGTGAGAAAGAAAAACACGAGGAGAAGAGGCTAAGTTACCTGAGTGGACAAACGCTGAAGAAGATGTACTGAGAGCATTAGAAGACCAGCAGTCCAGCAAGTGACGTAGAATATCCTCAAGCTCATGAGTAGTCATGTCAGAGAGACTATCAGAAGCCTGGCCAACGGAAACGGAAGTAGAATCAAGTGTATCAACAGCACTAGACTGATGAGCCTGTGACTGAGAGCCACGTCCACTAGACTGGCCTGACCGACCTCTTCTTGAACTAGACTGATCACCTCGACTCCCAGATGGAGTCCCATGAAGCTTCCAACATGTCTCACGAGTATGCCGCAGTTTGCGATAGTAATCATAGAATACAGACTCCTTGGCGGCAGACGGAGGGATAGGAGTCAAGCTGAGTCCATCTCGAGGGGTAGACAGTAATACTGAGCGGTCAGTAGAGACAGGTGACATCATGGCAGACCAATGACTCTCCTCATTATGTACATAGGTGAATGCCTCCTAAAGTGAAGGAAGAGTGTCCATACCCAGAACTTGACTCTAAACAGGATCATACTCCACATTGAGACCTGCCAGAAACTTGAAGACCCGTTCCTATACAATGAACTTCTTGTACTCGACTGAATCAGCAGTGCAAACAGGCTTATAGGCCTGCAGGTAATCAAGGCGTTTCTAGCCATTGGTGAGGAATGTGAAGTACTGAAGAACAGTTTGCTCCCCCTGAACAAAGCTTTCAATAGAGTGGCGCAACTTAAATGCCTGTGAGAAATTCTCTTTGCGAGAATAGGTGGCAGCCACAGTATCCCAAATATCCTGTGTAGTTTCCATAGACAAGTAGTCCTCACCAATTTCTGGTACCATCGAATGAGTAAGCCAACCCATAGTCAAAGAGTTGGTAATTTCTCATTGGTCATAACTTGGGTCAGTGGTGCTGGGTGTCTGTATCCTACCATCAACATACTCTATCTTCCCTCTGCTCTTCAAAAAAATAGTCAGACTCTGCGACAACGCTAGATAGTTCTAACAATTAAATGGAGAGGTGGTGATTTTAAGACTAGGGTTGGGATTATCAGTCATAGTACTAAGTAGAATAGAACTCTCACGCCTAGGTATCTGAGAAGTAGTGGACACACTGGTGGAATCTACCATGAATACTGTGTTACTAAACCCTCAATAAAACTAGAGTCAATCACAAATCCGAAAGGTGGTGATAGAAGGAAAGACATGACTACCACTATGAAAGCATAAAAGAATTAAAAACTCATAGACTTTTACTTTTTTTTCTTTTTTTTTTCCTTTTGACGAAATAAAATAAAAAAACAAGAAACCTGGGATAGAAAGACTAGTGTTCAAAGGCCGAACCTAGTGGTCAAATAGAGAGACCAGAGGCTGTCCCATGAAACAGAGAGACCAAAGGGAGACGAGCAGAGAGACAATACCAGAGGCTGTCACATGAAGCCAAAGAAGGCATAGGGCTGTCGGCTGGGGCAGAGAGACTATCCAAGGCAGTCGGCCAGGCGAGACAAGCCTTCACCAGTTGCCGATAGGCCTGCATAAACTTTTACTTTTTTTTCTTTTTTTTTTTCCTTTTGACGAAATAAAATAAAAAAACAAGAAACGTGGGATAGAAAGACTAGTGTTCAAAGGCCGAACCTAGTGGTCAAATAGAGAGACCAGAGGCTGCCCCATGAAACAGAGAGACCAAAGGGAGACGAGCAGAGATACAGTACCAGAGGCTGTCACATGAAGCCAAAGAAGGCATAGGGCTGTCGGCTGGGGCAGAGAGACTATCCAAGGCAGTCGGCCAGGCGAGACAAGCCTTCACCAGTTGCCGATAGGCCTGCGATGAGGATATCGACCAACCCAGGTGAGTTTCAAACCCTCGGATGATCTTCGGTGCTGATGTCGACCAATTAGGGTGAGTTTCGAACCCTAGATAGGCATTAACCCACCCCGAAACAACCTGGGTCTGTTTCGACTTGAGCCGAAACCCCTCCGGATGGAGTTGTCTGCGTGGGTTGTCTCCGGTGGTGGCTGGTGGCTCCGGTGGGTAACAGTATGGTAGATGGGTTTAGGTTTTAGGGTTAGGCTCTGATACCATGATAATTTAGAGAATAGCAAGATTAGGGAATGATTGAGATACCTTTTTTATGTTAATGAGGATTAATAATTATAAAGGAGCCCAAGGCATAGAATAATTACAGTAATAACCCAACTAATAATATCCTATTCTAACACAGCCGAGTACTATTGTGGATCCAATACCTCAAGTCATAAATTTTAGCGTTGTTTTCCTTTTTTGAGTAAGTTTGTGCCACTCCATCCCAAATCGCTTTCGTTGTTTTCAAAAATAAGTAACCAGTGCTAATTTTTGGTTGCATTGAATTCAACGGCCAAGAAAAAACTTTAGAATTATTTTCCTCCCTCTTATCATATAAAGGATCAGCATCTGATGGTTCTGTAATCTTTCCGATTATGTAGCCCATCATTTTTGTTTTACATTTAATAAGGAACATTGCAAACTGAGACCAGGTTCAACACTTTTCAAACACATTTGATAAAAATGAAACAAATACACCTACATCTATATAAGGAACCATTTGTAATAGACAGAAAATAACATCAAGAAATCAATCAATAAATACATCAATTTTACATAGCCCATCATTTTTGTTTTACATTTAATAAGGAACATTGCAAACTGAGACCAGGTTCAACACTTTTCAAACACATTTGATAAAAATGAAACAAATACGTTGGGGATAAAGGGGAGGAACATAGCCTGCTGTCCTAGGCAGTGGAAATGGAGGAATTTTCCATCTCAAAGTTGAATCTAAGTTTTACAAGTCAAGTACGCAACTTCTAATTGGGTAAATTATGGGTACAGGGTCAAATAACACTAACAAGCCCAAACAAATGTTCTTAAGTCATGGACTTGACACCCAAAGCCGAAATAATTAAAGAATGCTCAAATTCAGAGTGGGCACACCAAACCCAATCAATTAATTCATGCAGTTAGTCTTAATTTAATTTAAAATAAATGTAATCAAGTAACATACTGAATTAATTAAGAGTGACAATTAATCACAATTAGTAAGATACATGAGCAATTAGCTCAAGTTAATTACTTAATTAAGAGGGTAAATTTACCGGACATTACATGTAGTCACAACGAGCAAGTGAAATGTGTTTAATCATCTTTGTACAATCATCATAAAAGCTTTGACTGACACATATAGGAGACGATATTTCCTTAAAATGCAATGGAAGTAGTAATACTAGGGTACACCCTGTGGCAGCTGGACTCAACTGATCACAACCTGAGCCAACCTGAATTTCATAAAATTGAGCCTTGGTTAGTTTGGTCTAAAGGCTTGGTGGTTTAGTTTTCTATTGTCATGCTTAGGTCAACCTCCAAGCATGGTTTGCCTAACCTGTCCTTCATGTGGTCTGGTTTGTATTACACATAATACTATATTTATATGTTTTGTTGTCATTTCTTCAATCCCATAGATAGCCTTGAGGGCAAAGATGTAGTTCACCTATAACGTACAAATGAAGAGAAGCCAATACCTAATGGCCCAAGCTCTGGGTTATCTAACAATATTCTATATCAATAGAAATTGTATTTCTAGTTTGCTGGCATGTTTAGTCATAGTTTAAATTGTGTCTGTGTACTGCTTTGTTTCATTGTTAACATTCTTGTTTGAAAACTTAAACCTGATGTGTTCCAGCTATCATCAGGAATTAAATAATAGAGTAATTGTTAATGGGAAGTCCTAGGCTCCTAGTTGATCAATATTGTTGGGTCCATGATTTGAGGCAATGAGCATTATCTCCTTTTTGAATTTTAGATTAATTGAGAGTACCTTCATGATTAATATTAATTGTTTCTTATCAATTAATGCTCTTTTGACAACTTTTTGCATCTAGGTACTTGCATGAGGTTTGTTCTCCTTCCACTGTTCATAAGAACATCAAGTCATCTAACATTTTACTTGACACTGAGCTCAATCCTCATCTCTCAGATTGCGGCTTGGCTACCTTTCATCAGGTACCATATTTTGATAAATAATAGATCTCTTTGCAGTTGACTATTAATTATGAATCGTTAGACATAATTTATTAATTTACAGCATAGTTAAGTATTGAATTTTCTTATTAACTACAATTAAAAGATGAGGGAAGGGACCAAAGTGAAATTCGAGTGAAACTTTTGGGGGTGAAAAGTGTAATTTACCCTATTTTGTTTTTAAACAAATGAATTAAATAAGTCGACTCTTACCAAACAGAGCCGTTATTACTACAAGAAGAGACCAGCACAAACACAGGGGTGGCAGGGAAGAAGGAAAGTGGTCAGGAGGTTGTGGATGAGGTGGCTGGAGATGGCGAAGGTGGCTGAGTTAGGGTTAGTGTTTTTATATGTGTTAGAGGTAGAAGATGAAGTCAAGGGCAATATTATCGTTTTACATTGGAATTTGAGTTTGAATTATTTGAACAAAAAGACTTTTTGACTGTTTTTCTTGCAAACTCTCAAAATGCCCTTGTGTGCCACAGTTTCATTAATTTTGAACGGAATTATTAACGGTAGCACTTTATTCCAAAACTGTAGGAGGGCAAATTGGCTTTTTTATATGTTGGGAGCATAAAGTGCTCTAGGGCCAAATCACAAGTGGGTATAATAGATTTTGCCCCCTTTTTTTTTCTCCTCATTTTCATTAGTTGTAGAGAAAACAAAAAAAAAAAAAAGAAAGAAAGAGAAAGAAAACTTAAGAAGACATGCAAATTGAAGTTAGTGAAACATAATTGCTCCCAGGTGCACTTTTCCTGTAAGATTTGTACCCATCTATTTCTAGTGATTTAAACTCTATTTGTTGCTATTTCATTGAACATTGGAAGAAATAGACTTCCAGGGGTTATTTGATAAAGACTGAAATATAGCAATAGTTTTTCTTTTGAAGTAAAGTTTATTAGAAGGAATCAAAATCAGATGTCCTCTGTGTACACCCACAAATATTCATCTTCTTACGGATCAAAATTCTCTTCAATTTCGAAAAACACCTGACCGTAAGGTTTGCGAATACCCAGCTTTTCAAAAGGTTAAAAAATAACAATTTTTAACTAGAAAAGCGGTTCTTCTACCCCATTACAAGATTGGCAATTCCTTTCTTCCCAAATTGTCCACAACAAATACAACAGGGCTGATTTCCATGCCTTGCTTTTATATTTTCAGACATCCCTCCCAATCAATGCAAAAGTTGTACCACACTTCTTGGATAACCCAAGGAACGCCTAACAACACTAATATCATAACCCCACATCTTTTTGGTCACTCTGCAATGAATGAGGAGGTGATCAACTGAGTCCACATATTCTTTTCCCTCCCAACACCAATTAAAAATGTGTTTACATCAAATCAAATTATCCAAAATAAGGATTTTTCTATGCGCTGCTGTCCAAAAACAATTGCAACCTTGGAAGTGGTTGTGGAGTTCCATGTTCCCGTTCAAGGAAATGAAGCCTCACTAGAGCCCTCCCAGCAACCTCAAACATGTTAGGCATAGATGTATCACATTTCATGAGTCCTCTCCACTGCCTATGCGTGACATGACATGCTTTAAGTTTTGGATAAGCCTTCAACTCAGCCTCTCAATTTTCTAAAGCTCACCTGAATGACACATCCCAAAATACCTAGTTTCCTTTAGAATGCATGAAATCAACCTCTGTTGCATCATCCCTCTGTACTGCAATCTGAAAAAATAGTTTGAAACACCATATCCAGCACCTCCTTCGCATTCCACCTATTTAAGATATCTAATTCTGTTTATAACACTATGCAATTGGTCTTCTACACTTCATAGTAATGTGTTCCATTATTTGTTGCTATATATAAGTGCACATTTGCAGCTTTTCTTTTTGCTCATCTTCTATGTTGATTTTGGCACTAAATTTATTCTTCAAGTTTAGTGCACTTTGTGCTTTTACAACAGTAATGGGTTTGTTCATCTTTCATACATTTTTTTTTTTTGCTCATTTAAATAGAGGTAGAAAGCCTATATTCTACATTATCCTTGTTGACCTTTTTGTCAGCGTACAAGCGTAAATCTGGGGAGTGGATACAATGCTCCAGAATGCACCAAACCTTCAGCTTATACAATGAAGAGTGATGTTTATAGTTTTGGGGTGGTTATGTTGGAGTTGTTGACAGGTCGAATGCCTTTTGACAGGTGTGTTGCCTTTTCGAGGTTGAAATTTATTTTAATATGGTCTTGCACAGACTCCTCATTTTTATCTGAAATCATTCTGTTGCTTCCTTCTAGTTCAAAGCCAAGATTAGAACAATCACTAGTCCGGTGGGCCACCCCACAGCTCCATGATATCGATGCATTGGGGAAAATGGTGGATCCTGCCTTGTGTGGACTGTATCCTCCTAAATCGGTCTCTCGATTTGCTGACATTATCGCTCTGTGTGTACAGGTAAGACCCAATGGGTGTGCTATAAAATTTCAGCCAAGATGATGTGCATACCAAATGGGAGTGCTATAAAGATCAACAATTTAAATGGAGGAGGGGAAAAAAAAAAAAGAAGAAGAAGAAGAAGAAAAGTTGTTAAAATTTGAAATTTGAAATCAAAATCTGAAATAGCTATATATAGGTAGTTGCATAGGAATAATTTGGAAAAGAAAAAATTGTGACATGTGCTTTAAATAATAGAATATATGTCATCCAGGCCTTATCTGGTTTGAAGTTGGCTCTCTTAGATGTTTAGGTGATTTGTACTTTATAGATTCTGATTAGGACAAGAGTACCTTTTCTCTGCTACATGCTCCGGACCAAATACATGGTGCCTCCATTCACCAACTTCTGGTTCATATTTTAGGTTTAGCTAGTTGGTTTGGTGCAATGCAATCTTTCGCTTGTGCATTTGAGTCTTGGACTTGAATGGGCAGGCGGTGGTGAAGAGGCAGTTTGTGAATTATAGTATGATGTAACCCACTTACTGTCATTTGGTATCATTCCAAAATTCTTACAGGTTTATTCATATATTTGTTTCAGCTGGAGCCAGAATTTCGACCACCAATGTCCGAAGTGGTGCAGGCACTTGTCAGGGTAGTTCAGCGATCGAGTATGAGAGAGGATCCAGGTGCCTCTCGTCGTGTGGCTGACTATGATTATTAATGATTTTGATTCTTTTATTTTATTTTATTTTTTTGATATATATATATAAGATTTGCATAGTAATATAAGTCCTTTTTAGGGAAGCCGATTTTTATCTTATTTGTTAATTCTTTTTACCTTGGTGCCGTATCAGTTTGAGAAGCAGCATATCCCCACCTCTATTGTCGGTCACACAAACAGATCAAAAAATAAAAAATAAAAATCAAGGACACGTGATTGGGAGGTCAGCTAGTCTGGATGTTCATGTAATGCAAACGAGTGAATGCCTGCTATAAATGAGGAACAAGTTCCAGTGTTCTTGATAACAATAATCATAAGGCGAGCTGGCTGGTGCTGTTGAATGGCTTGATAGGTATCAGCACAGGTAGAAGCTAGTGTGCCTGTTGAGTGATTAAGCAGAAGCAGAGAAAGAAGGAAAGAAGCTTACAAGGGGAAGTTAGTTTGAATGATAAAAAAACAAGCTCCCTACCTATGGCATTAATAAAAGTTGATTTAGGTAATAGAAGCACTCAGATGCAAAGTATGCTGAGAAATGTTAGTGTTTGATATGTTTTTTTTAAAAAAAGTTTGTTAGACAAATTATGCCCAATAATTCTTAGAGTTTTTTTTTTTTTGGTGGGCCTGCTTGTATCAATTTAGTTCGTGTAATTTTAATGATGACACATTAAAAACTGTCAAATATGTCCAATTGTTAATAGAAATTTTTATTTTTGCTGAAAAATTGCCACGTGCCATGCAGTAACCAATTTTCAGGGTGAAAATGGGTCAATCCATCCATTTCTCTCTCTCTTCTGTCGTCTTCACCTATCTTTTTGCTCATAAGTTAGGCTTTCACTGTATAGATTTAGACGGGTTGTCCCTAATTGCATTATAATAAGAATTAAAATCATAAATTAGATCATCTCCAAAGGTTTACCAGATTCATTACCAAATTTAAATTTGATGAAAAATGACAGCTGTTGTCTTTTCAACGGTTTCATCAAAAAGATATCAAATTAAGAGCGAGCCAAAATTTTCACCAAACTGAGGAACTGTGGTAGATTTTACCATTTTACTGTGCGTTTACGTTGGAAGTGGGTCTCACCAGACAACCAGCCAGACGTCCAGCCGGTTGTCCCACCGGTCGTTCGCTTTACACATAAAATGCCGAGCAGCCTATGAACTAGCTTGAAAAGTTGGTTGCTTTTGTGGCACCAAGAATAAATTTAACATTGATCCATGGATAGCAGAGGGACATGCATTGTATATAAATTTAAATTTGTATCAAAATTAGCCGTTTAGCAGGTGCAACTCTATTCCAATAAGGTTACCGTTAGTGTTGCAGAGGATTTGACAAAGTTACCATTGTTGTGATCTACAAAATAAGACTGTACTAATCTTTTAGTTTCACAATATCATTATAATTTCTATTTTCTTTGTGTTTTGGTTAACTTTAATATTCACTTTTTGTTTTTAATTTCACAATATCATTACTATTTCTATTTTCTTTGTAAGTTTAGTGTACATTATTTCTTTGTGAGCTTCAGTGTATATCATTACAATATATTTCACTGTCTGTATTGGATGTTGTATCTTATTGAATTTTCTTAAAACTATGGAAGATTTTGAAATGTTTGAGGAATCACAAACTTCAGAGCAAAACACCGATATTAATTTTATTTCGGAAACTTCTCGTGTTTCTCGTGGTAAAGCGTTCACAATTATAGAAGATGAAACTTTATGTAGATCTTAGATGGCCGTCTCTCAAGATCTCATTACTGGTAATAGTGAAACCATGGCAATATTCTAGGAACGAGTACTCGTTTATTTTAATTCACAATTGAGTGGTGAATCAAATCGAAACCGTGTTTCTTCGTTTCACCGTTAGTCTGTTATGCAAAACGCAATTAATAAATTCTGTGATTTTATTGAGCAAATCCAATTGATGCAACAAAGTGGACTACTGAGGCAGACATGGTAATTTTTATTTTTTTTATTAAATATCAATTTTCTTAGTGCTCAGTCTACTTGTTATCAAAATGTTTATAATTTTCATTTTTTAGGTCGTTGAAGCTAAGCGCGTGTATCATGCAATACAGGAAAAAAAAAATAAAAAAAAAAACACTTCACATTTGATATAAGTTGAGATATTTTGCGCCGAAGTTGTAAGTGGGATGAATTTAGAATACAACCAAAAAAAGCCACGCAACAAACATATCCGTTTTTGAATCTAGCAATTGAAGGTGAGGCTTTTCAATCCAACAACAATATTGAGGAGGACCAATAACCAACTAATACATTAACACAACCAATTGGTACTAAGGCTACGAAAGAGAAGTTGAAGAATCAAACAACTCACGATGTTAGATATGATGAAATGGCTGCCAACCAATTTAAAATTGTTGAAGTATTTTCAATTATCTCCGCTAGAACTGTTGAGCGAGATGAACAAAAAGCGATAGACCGTGAACAGAAGGTTGTAGAGCGTCGAAGAAAGGCTAAGGATAGGGAGGAACAACTAAAAATCTTATCTATGATGAATGAAAGAGAACAACGAAATGAGGATAATAAAATAATGTAAATAGACATGACAAATTTAAATCCTATGTAAAGGGCGTACTATGAAGAGCTTCAATGGAAAATCTTATTTCGATCAACAAATAGATTTCCTTGACTATTTCATGAAGACCATGATTTCTATTCAATTTCTTGCAATGTATTTATGTATTGCATTTTAATATATTTTCTATAGTTAAATATATTGGAATTATATATATGCTGATGGTGGGTTCAAAATTTCAGAAATAACATGTGGTTGGTCTATTATTAGTACCAAGTGTATTGGTTTTATTATTTGTATATGTAAAATTAGTATGAAGAGCTCAATATCTATTATTTGTATCTGTCAAATTATTTTTATTGGTTTTATTATTTAAAAACAAAAACATTAATACAAACACACTTACTCCAAATTAATTTTCAAAAGAAAAATGATGGAAACACACAAATCATGGTCACAAAATAAATTTTTTGTAGAGAGGTAGTTTGTTTAAGTTTTTTTGTACAGAGGTAGTTTTAAAAAATTTCATTCACAGTTCAAATATCTATCAATTTTGTTTGTATACTTTTTTTTTTCTTCAAAACATGCTCACATTGAACTGAGTTCCCAATGCAGTGAATTGATTAGCCATTTGTTGTTCCCATTGAATGCGTTGATTGTGTTGTTCTTGTTCCATGGCCAAAAAATAGTCCAGGATTGAGGTTTTTCAGTTGCTGGCATGGCATTGTCATGGGGGTCTTCGGGAGCATCATCAGGCGGGACATTTGCATTAAGACTTCCCAATAAATTTTCAACGTCACCAGCTCGGGTTAGTGTGTGCTCCGAAATGGCTGAAGAGATTTTAGTCTCTACTTCACCTACAAGTCGGATCTTAAAAACTTTGAAAATTTTAGTAAGCAGAGCCCCAAAAGGTAGTGATCGGCCAATGATATGACCAAGATTTGCAACCATCATTTCTTTCATTAGTATATAACATAAATCCAATTTGTGACCAACTTCAAAACAATATAGCAAACATGCATTAAAATATGGGACAACATCAAAATGTCCTCTTTTCGGAGTGATATTTTCTACTATAAACCGATGGAGAATACGAAGGTGGGGTTTCAAATGTTTTGCTAGTAAATTACTCCCGGTTGATCTCCTCTCACAGATAGTAGTATATTCTTCACTTATATTGCCAACAATTCAAGTAGGTCAGTCTCACTGTGAAAATAGATATGTATATCCCCTTACTCAACTCCAATAATTTGTGACAAAGTGGGGATATGAAACTCAGTAGTCTTACCTTTCACATAAGGTAGAAGACTAAAGTTTTCATTTTCTTCATCGGTACATTTCAAGTGAACATAAAATAAAGACACAAGACAAGGATATACCTTTTGTGGTAAATTGATTAAATTTAGCCACCCCATAGCCTCAAGTTTGTTAACCAATAAAGGATGATATTGAGCAGGAAAATTAACCCTTCTCCTGATGACAATAGGTTGGCTGGAGAAGCTTTGAAAGGCTTGTTCACGATTGTAAGTGAGAAAATCAGTAGTAGGATAAGCTGAACTTTGAGGTTGTTGCTATTTTTGGCGTGGTGGAGGGTTGGAGCTTTCACCGTGTTTTGGTCTTGTCTTTTGGTTCTAGGCATGATGTGAATATTTGTTCAATTTGATTGGAAATGTGTTAAATATGAATGATGGATTTTAAAGGAGCTAAAATTGAGTGTGAGGTGACTAAATGGTGTGAAAAGGCAATGCAAAAGTGCAACAGAAAATGAAGTGCACACAGAAAAAAAAAAAAAAAAAGAACAAACAGGACGAATCACAAACAATTCTATATTTCATTAAAAAAAATAATTAAATCAATCAATCATCTAAAAAAAAAAAAAAGAACAAGCAGGGCTGGTTGATTGGCCGATCGACCCACCAATTGACCCCTCGGTTAATCGTTTCTGGAGCAGAATTTGTATTTGGTTTATGCTAAAATTTGGTGTAGCTCGCCTTTTTCGCGCCCATTTTCAGAAGCTCAAAAAGAAGCCCTACAGTTTGGACTCCCGCAGTTCTAAATCTAATCTCACAAGTGTAATGTGAAACTAATAAACACTAAAGAGTCTAAATCCGGCAAATCGTTTTGGAAAACTGATTTTGAATCAAAATGCCAAAATTGGACTGCTTTGCCAGAGACAGAATCACCACCTAAATATTTTATTTTAGGAAAATCTAGGAAACCCATGACTCGTGCCAAAGGCCACGTGTTCGTCATTACCAAAATTACCTCAGCTCGGGAACTTAGGTACGAGAGGGGAAGGTCATGAATTGAGCACCGCTGCTTGCCCGATCAAAGATCGGCCTCTACTAATCATGATATGATTTTTATCAACATTATATGCTCTTTTTCCGGTTATTAGGCTAGCATTACTATGTGATGCGTTCAAGCAAGTATAGATCAGTTTGCTCAATTTAGAACAATTCAACTCATGTTTGTTTGGGAAAATGGTTTGAATTTTGTCACCTCAAGTGGGCTTAAAGTTGCAGATTTGCCACCAAACATAGTGGGTTTAAAACATGATTTGCTACTCAACAAAGTGGGCTTAAAACGCACATTCATTGAATCGTTCTAATTCAAACAACAAGTCTTCATCCATAGGCATTCATGCAGCTCATCAAATAAGCATTTAGCCTTGTGGTAAGCATGCTAGACATGGCAACATTCACATTCATGCGAGTATGCTAAAGCACTAAAAACTCACCTAGTACTCCAAGCTAAGAAGATATAAGTTAGAAAAATATGTATGATTCCTAACTATACTAATGCAACATATGCAATATGCAATTAATAGGCTCGACTACTTAGATGGCATATGGATCGATTTAAACAACATGCGATTAAACACATATTCAAATTAGATATTGAAATGGCAATGCAGCTTGAATGATGCGCCGAGCCTCGGTGCATGCAATACGAATGAATGGATGTAAGCATAAGGTATGCTAATTTGAAATATGTCCCTAATCTAACCATCAAAAGCGATTAAATAAAAGGGAGAAAGATGTGGAGTTGGAAAACATACACACACGCGCGCACGCACACTTATTACAACATTACGCTCTCGCGAAGGATGGTCCGAATGAATAAAAGCTAACCAACTAGCTACGCTAATTAAGCTAACTAATTATTACAAAAC